GCACACTATCTCCTCTCATCTCGCATTTTCCTGTTTCAGTTATTTATAGACTATGCCTGTGTTGTCTTTAGATGTTTTTCGATAAATAATTCAACCTGCTTAAGTCTGTCACTGCAAGAAATCTTTAAAATTCAGAAATTTCTTAATTCCTTATTTTGAGAATAATTTTAAGCTTTGACCCTGAGAGCTGAAAGCTGAGAGCTCTGTCTTCCACAGTAATTTTGAAATTAATGGTATTTTTTTTCCCTCTGCTTTCCCAGGCCTTGTCGCYGTTATTTTTATTTGTGTCTTGCCTCTGTTCTGGTTTGTTCTGCCCACAGGGTGTTTTTCTTGTCACTTACCCTTYGTGAAGATGCCCCTCTTCCCTTTTTTACAAATAGCCCGAAGCCTCAGGTGGCTTCCAAGGACAGAGCTGTAGCATGCGGGGCATTTTCTGATGCCTTGGGCTCGGGAGCGTAGCTCTCCTGCCTTGGATGCYTTGGGCTTGGGAGCATAGCTGTTCTGGAGAGCCTTCCACATGGGTCTGTGAGCAGGGAGATGTGGGGACAGGGGCTCCCTGCTAGGGCTTGGCCCCCGTTGTCTCCTCTGAACACCAGGGTGATGCTGTGGACAGGGCGGTGTGTTCGTGCCACCCTCGTGCGTGGCGGCCAAGGAGGACACCGGGTTGTTCTGAAAAGGTGTCCGGGTGTTTGTCCCAAGTTACAGAGCCTCAAGGAGTCAYTGGGAGAGGTGTTGATGTCTCTGCTGTGCTCCAGTCATAGGTCGGCTGTGCAGGTAGGTGAGAATGTAGGTAAAACTGAAGGAGCTTCGAGGGCTGGGGCCTTACTTTGATTTGGTTTTCTTGTGGCTAAAATGTTGTAGGGGCAGCAGGTCAGGCTGGTCCAGTGCTTGTCTCCTTTAAAAAGGAGGGAAAAGAGGAACATCCTAATTTAACCTGGTTGCCTAACTGGCCACTAACATAKGCCAGCTAATAACCATGCTGACATAACATACCCTAAAGTTTCCCTAAAACCTCTGGGATAAAACCTGGGATTCATAGAGCGGATTCTTGGGTCCCATGGGACTTKGCAGCACAAAACTGAAGCTCGTCCGTGCAGGACACACAGATTTCTTGGCTGTTGGCTTTGACATTCAGAAAAAGCTCTTATAGGAGCTGAAAATCAGTGCACGCTCGCTGCTGTCTTTTGCCTRGGAAGCTGGGTGCTCCTTTCTGATTGTATCATGTGTAAGGCAAGTCCATCCTCTCTCTCATCCTGCAAGGGAGGTGAGGCACCGAATGGCTTTTAATGGGTTTTCACTGCTTACATCTAGGAAAACCTGTTCTTGGAAGGCACTTGGACTTTAGGGCTGTATTGATGATGTCAGGATACAAAAATGACCAAAAGAAAAATAAGGGGGGGGGGGAGTATTTAAAAAGTAGTTCTTGCATGTCTTTGGCRTGAGGATATCTGTCCTTGAGGATCTCAGACAGCTGTAGAACTCGATACATGACCTCAAATGGATTGAGGAGAAAGTAATTCTCGCAGTTAGGGCACGTTTACTCCCTCACACTGGTAATTACTCCATTATAGCAACTAGGGCTTTTTAATCTGCCCCTGTTCAGGTAAACTGACAATCATCCTGTGGCTTCTGGATTTTTAAAGGGGCTCTTTGAAGCTTCCTGTGCTCTCTGTCAAGAGGGAGTCTGCTGAAGTATCAGCACCTTTGCCTGGCAATTGCAGCCGCATGACCTCATCGAGTGAGCTCTGGGCGTCCTGAAGAAGCAGAGACATCCAACTTGGTATCTTGGGAGTTTGAGCTTTATGTTTTTCTGAAACATAGGGAAATAAAAAGTTTTTTTTTTTTTTTTTTTCCATCTTCCACCTTTGTTCACCAGAAACAGCCTGTGTCTTTTGGAGCTGGGTTTGTTAGCAACAACGAAAGAGGAAAAAGAAGACTCCAAGACGATCTCCTCTGTCCTGGTCCCATGGCTTGTGCCTGAGGGGCCAGTGCAGCTCAGGCAGCGTGCTGCTGTGATGTGGCCGCGGCACCAGGCCTGGTGGCTGCCATGGGGCAGCGCCGTGGGGCAGCTCCGCTCCTTGTCAGYCCTGGCCACCCCACAGGCCACGAAGGGACCTGCGAGCCGCCCCCTCGCGACGTTTGCAGGCACATTTAAAGCTAGGCAGGAAGGAGCCCCGTTCCTCTTRCCTGGCAATAAAATAAAAATCCGCAGAATGGAGCCGAACGAGGGATCGCTTGGCCAAAGTGACAGCAGGCATTTCAGTGCGTCTGGCAAAGTCACAAAGTGAAGCTGTCAGCAATCTTAAAACAATAAAGCCTTTTTTTTCCTTTTTCTTTTAACAGCCTGAGCCCGATTGTTTGTGTTGTCCTGGTTCAAACACACTGACCATGCTGAGGGGGCTTGAGGTGCCTTCCCCATTTCTTATTGCAGCAGGAAGCTCCACTTTTTTGTTTGCTTTCCTTCTGTGTCTATCCTGGTAAAAGGAGCTTCTCAGAAGTGCCCTGTTTTGTTGATCACAGTGTAAGTAAGATTGGATTTTGGCTTTGCTTGTGTTTTGCTTTCTGTTCTTTAAAGTAATTTTCTAATATCTCTTACTAAAAGCAAACAAAATAAATCCACAGGTAGTCCATTGCCTGTAAATTTGAAAACAGAAAATTCTGAAGAATAACCACAGGAAAAAAGCCGCGAATGAGGCTCTGGGGATTTGGGAGAGGGAGGTGTTACTTTCTGCTCTGCACTGACAGCCTCCACAGGCGGGGATACATACAGTAACTTTTGGTGTAGCATGGGCAGCCCTTTCTCACTGTGGGTTTTTTTGGGCCAAGTGGCCATGTGTAGCACGTCCCTGTTGTCCCCGGTGCAGTTTTGGGCCGTTCTCCTGCCCTGACCACGGGATGGGGCAGAGCCCGTGGCTGGTGCTCCCACCATCAGCGGGCCCAAGTGCAGCTGGGCAGCCGGATTCCTCTGTGTTGGGGAGTCTCCTGTCCGGAGATGCTCGGAACCCCCCTGGCCATGACCCTGTGCTCCATGCTCCCGGTGTCCCTGCTGGAGCAGAGGGGTTGGATCGATCTCTGGTGATCTCCAGAGGTCCCTTCCAGCCTCAACCGTTCTGGGATTTTCACAGTGGAACCAAGAGGAGAAAAAGTTTTGAGTCAGATGAAACTTCTCTGTTAAATTAAGCCAAATACAGTGTTCCCTTAGTTAAAGCTGGGTCTTTAGATGCTTTGAAGAAAAATTAAAATATTTATTTGAAATAGCCTGGCTTCTTATAAACTCCGCCCCCATTCCTTTAGGACAAAAACTGTTAGAGTTTGGCTTACTGGCAGGCTTCTTGCCTGAACATGGGACTTTTGGCGCTTGCTTACGTGTGGGCGGAGGTTCCCGTGGGCAGACCCGTGGCTGCCTGCAGCGGGGATGGACCCTGAGGTGGGCCGCTGCGGGGCCAGAGGCGCCTGGAGGCTCCGGGCAGCTCCGCTCAGGCCCGGCCTCCTCCGCTCCTCAGCAGGGATGGGCACTGTGTGATCCGGGTGATCCCTCCCTACGGGGTAACCTGGCTGGAGCCTCATGGGCCGGAGCTGAAGCGAGTTTTGGACTGCTGTCCCCGGGAGTGACAGGCCCGTGGATTTTTCTTTCTGGTGGTTGATGTTTGAAGTTGTTGGCGTGTTGGCACGTGCTGTGTCTGTGCTGCTCCCATCCAGCCAAGATGATTAAGGGACTGGAACATCTCTTGTATGAGGAGAGAAGGCTGAGAGGGGATCCGACCAGCACGTATAAGTACATGGAGGGAGAATGTAGGGAGGAAGGGGCCAAACTCTTCTTAGTGGTGGCCAGTGACAGGACAAGGGGTAATGGGTATAAATTAATCCACGTGAGGAAGAACTTCTTCACTGTGAGGGTAGCAAAGACCTGGCACAGGCTGCCCAGGGAGGCTGTGGAGTCTCCTTCTCTGGAGGTCTTCCAAACCCGCCTGGATGCCGCCCTGTGCCCCGTGCTCTGGGTGTCCCTGCTGGAGCAGGGGGGTTGGACTGGATGATCTCTAGAGGTCCCTTCTGACCTCAACCATCCTGTGTTTCGGTGATTCTGTGGTAGGGAGGGAGATGGGTTAGCCAGCAGCCCGCAGCCTTTGGGCTTGCCTCTTCTCCCTATGGCTGATACCTTCCTTGTTTTCTCTGTTCGTCACCCACAGAGGGTGTTTCCCAGCTAAGCAACTCCATGAATTTTCCTCGTTTGCTTTGCTTTTCATTTGTGCACTGCTGCTGCCTTGAGGCTAACGCTGTTGCGCGCACAAGGGCGTCTCCGCACCAGCTCCACCTGCCCATGGCCTCTGGGGGGGACTGTAGAGCCCAGGCACTGGAGGGCTGTGGGTCAGGGCACCTTGGGCCTGTGCCTGGCTGCTTGACCCCTACAGCCACCTCGTGGTGACTTGTGAAGCCCTAGGGGAAGAAGGAAAGCTAGTGACTGGGTTAGAGGCGCTGTGATAAGAGCGGGGGTGAAGCTTCCCCAGCTTCCTGACTGCACCTCGCGGAGCATTATATATAAGGAGACTGTTAAGTTGCTATTTTTTCCCCTGGGATTTCCTCCTAAAATTTCTCATTGCCCTTCTTGGCTCTAGACTGCACTGCACTGTCTCAGGCTCGCCGTGGCCGGGAAGTTTTCTGGGCCTCTCTATCACTAGCTACTCAAAGCAGGTCTGGATAATGTACTATAGGAAACATTGGACCACAGAAGAGCTGGTTGACAACCAGATCTTAGCTGGGTCCTGTAGATGGGCTAGTAATGGTATTTGCAAAGATATTTTGGAAAAAGATTTGAAGACCTTGTTAGGACAAAACTCCTATTTTACTGGAAAGTTGTAAAATTGTGCTTGTTGCGGAACTTTTTCTCCATTCCTTGCAACTGAAGAAGACCACAGAATAACTTCCCTTTTAGTTTAACCAGAAAGCTTGTATGGCAATCTTTGCACCTTTGTATATATACCTATATGTACTTTTAACCACAGATACAAAATGACTGCTCAAGTAACACTAGAGGATGCCTTGTCCAATGTGGACCTTTTGGAAGAACTGCCATTGCCAGACCAGCAACCATGTATTGAACCCCCACCATCATCTCTGCTTTACCAGGTATGTTGTCACCATGGAGAAGAGTTTTGGCAGGTCCCATTGCTGTTAGGAAGAAGAGGTTGTGCTCTTCCAACCTCTTATATATATATATAAGGAATATATATATCTATATATATATTCCAATATATATTTACAGTATATATAGTTTTTTCTTCCCTACAAAGAATTTAACTCTACATTTTGCTTTCTTTGTAGCCAAACTTCAACACTAACTTTGAAGACAGAAATGCATTTGTCACTGGCATTGCGAGATATATTGAGCAAGCTACAGTGCATTCCAGCATGGTAAGTAGATGTTCAGGTGTTTACTTTTCTGTCAACTGGAATAAAAGCAGAGGGATGCAGCTCTGTGTGTTTTATTATAAGAACAGGTTGAACACGAGATTAGRTGCCACTCACACATTACCTGAGTGTGCACCAGGTCTGTTGTTAAAATTACCCGGTGGCCTGTGGTCTTTGTTGTTGTTGATGTTGTTGGGATGTTGTTTGCCCTCTTTCCTGACGACTAAAAGACCATGTTGCAGTGTGTGCTGGCTTCGTTTCCAGAAATCCACCCATGCCCCATTGTTCTTTTCCTTTTTTCTTATTCTTAAACAACTCTGGAAGGTAAAATATCTAATMTTTTTCCAAAGTAGCGGTTTTATGTATAAATCTTAGTGCCTTTTATTTGGCATGGAAAGAATGAAGCAAAAGATGATTCACTCCAGACAGATAATGGTGTGGTTTTTTTTTGTTATTAGGCAGGTGTAATTGCTGAAATTGTTGATTAGTGTTCTGATAAGTGCTCGTTGGATCAAGTAGTATGAAGATGGTGATGTGAATTCTCTCAGAACTACACTGGTGGCTAAAACACATGACTGAGAATAGATGGATTTATTGTTGTTATTGTTTATTGTTTATTGTTTATTTTTAGTTGCTGGATTACAGCCATCTGTGTTTCAGTAAGTGCTCTCAGATGTTAGTTTAATACAAATAATATGCCAAATATGCCCAGGTACTATGGTAATAATAAATAATCTTACATAGATGCAGTATGATACTTCATTTCATTTACCATATGTATGTGTTCATACGCAAACATTTCCCGAAGAGAAGCAGAATTGCTTGGAAGGATGGGCGGCTTTGGGTTTCATCCTCCTTGGGTGATGCAGTGCCTGGTTATGCTGGGTGTCTGTCTTACAGAATGAAATGTTAGAAGAGGGTCAGGAATACGCCGTCATGTTATACACATGGAGAAGCTGTTCCAGAGCCATTCCTCAGGTAAGGGAGCCAACTTAATCTGCTATGTAATAGATACACTTTTTTTTTTTTTGTATGAGAATGCATGAATGCTGTTTTATTAATGAACTCTGAAAGGCAGTCTGCTTTGACTCCCGAGTTTGCAAGCTTGACATGCCATAGGATAATGTCTTTCAGCACACACRAGCTGTGTGGTTGTTTTGTCTGTGTGGTTTTTGTTTTTGATAAAGTAACTACAGAAATACTTTGCTTCCTTTCCTTTCCTATTCATGCCTCCAATTTTTGTCTTTGTCATTGTAATATATTCTCTGAAGTTGTCATTTAGAATTTCAGTTTCTTGGGCTTTATCRGGGAGAGTTCTGAGTGTAATGATATCTTGAACTGTCCTCAGGTCAAGTGTAACGAGCAGCCTAACAGAGTAGAAATCTATGAGAAAACTGTGGAAGTTCTGGAGCCAGAAGTCACCAAACTGATGAATTTCATGTATTTTCAGGTAAAAGGAGTGGAGACAAAACCTTTTCAGTAGGCATGTATGTTTGTATTCCTRTTTCGTATGCTTGGCATTGTGTGCTCAGATAATGAAACTACTTATAAACGTTGAAAAAACTAACAAACAAAAAAAACCTGCCTCACCTCACAGAAGGGCAGACTTCCTAATGTGTACCTTAAAAACTTGAGCGCACATCCAAGAAGATTCCTTGCATACAGTGTGAAGTAGTTCCTTATGGTCCTCACGTAGTGCACAGGGAGAGCTCTGGCACTTGGGGAAGAAAGGAAATGGAGACATCATGCGTGTCTCATGGACATCAAAGAGCATCTCAGCACAGAAAGCAGTTGTTGGGGGGGAGCCACAAGGCTGGATATCGTCTCACTGGATGCCTCCTTGTTGCAGAAATTCATGGGGAAGGAGGCRAATGATCCCAGTTGCTGTCGCTGTCAGGACACTGGAGAAGAGCAGCCCCTGTTGCCTTCTCATCCCGTGCTGGTGTTTAAATGCACAGGGAGGTTTCAGGGGCAGCTCTGGCTGCTACAGCCCTCCAGCCTCCTGAGCACAGAGAAAGAGGAGGCTGAAGGAAATGTAGCATTTCCCGTCCTCTTCCAGAGCTGGTGGATCTTACTGCCTGCAGGCTCCTGCACAAGTCTCCTTTCATTGGAAGAGATTAAAATACTGTAAAAAAACTCAGAGGAAATTCCCGTTTGTATTGGAAATTTCTATCCTTCATACACAGATATGCCAAGATCTTAGTTAGCGTGTACTGCTGCTACTAAGTGTTCTTCCTTTTGTTTTCTTTTTAAGAGAATGTGCCAATAATTTGTTGTTATGTGTTTTAACACSTATGTCCTTCCTCACTAAGGAACATGAAGTCATTTGTTTTAAGGAGATTTTCCATTGACTTCAGCTTGCAGAGCAGTATCCTGCAAGCTCAGGGCTGTCACGTGAAGCTCCAAGCAGAGGTGGAGYTCAGAGGCCTGCGCTGCTGCCCTTAGCCTGGCTAGCAGCGTGTCCAAAGCTTAAAAAGAAACACCGCAGGTGCTTTCCACACCGCTGGTGCTGGAGTGATGTATTGTTAAGTGCAAGAGGGGAGAACGTGGGTGTGACAAACTCATTTTGGGACGCCTGGCGTTCATGCTCCGTTTCTGCTGTTATTTCTGCCAGAGAAACGCGATCGAGCGCTTCTGTGGCGAGGTGAGGCGGCTGTGCCACGCGGAGAGGAGGAAGGACTTCGTCTCGGAGGCCTACCTCATCACGCTGGGCAAGTTCATCAACATGTTTGCTGTGCTGGAYGAGCTRAAGAACATGAAGTGCAGCGTGAAGAACGACCATTCCGCCTACAAGCGGTGAGCCCGGCGCCAGGCCGCAGCCTCCCCCATGTGGCAGCACTTGCTGCTTGGGTGGCAGCTCCTGCCTCTAAGGAAATCCCTKCCAGGGTCGGGCAGGCGGCCTTTAATCTGTGTGTCAGGTGTGCCGACTGCAGCTAAACCATTGGAGATATAYACATATATGTATAGGCTGCTCTTCCAACAGCAAAAGGTTCTGTGGTTTCTTAATGCAGAACTATCAAATTCCCTGTGTTGGTGTGCACTAAAATGCTGAATGTACATTGCTCTATAAAGCTCTCCTTTTTAAAGAGAAAACTGTCCTTCAGTGCATTTGTGCTGCCACTGGTTTTGGCATTCGGATTTAATCTGCAGAGCTGGGAATTGCTGCCGTTCCTGAGGTGTTTCCAGCAATTCTGGAAATTCAGCTCTGGAGCTCTGCTGGAGCTGGAATGTGGTGCCAGGTGGGTTGCTGCTGAGACCCTCTCCTGCTGAAGGGAAATACTCTTTCTCTCTTCTGTTTTCAAAGAGCTGCTCAGTTCCTACGGAAAATGGCTGATCCTCAGTCTATTCAAGAATCCCAGAACCTTTCCATGTTCCTTGCCAACCACAACAAGATAACTCAGGTAAGCTTTAGTTATCTTTTCGCAAAATATCTAATACTTTTTCCGAAGTATTGAAAGAAAACCCCCTAAGTTCCGTAGTAAATGTTGACGCCCTCACATTGACTCATGCATTTTTCCCTCTCTTCTTTTTCAGTCTTTACAGCAGCAGTTGGAGGTGATTGTTGGCTATGAGGAGCTGCTTGCAGATATTGTGAATTTGTGTGTGGACTACTATGAAAACAAGATGTATCTCACGCCCAGTGAGAAACACATGCTTTTAAAAGTATGTTCCTATCTACTAGAAAATTAAAAAGGGATGGTTGAGGCAGAATATAGGTGTCTGAGTTCCCTTTGTGTTTTTCTTTTCTTTCCCAGAACCAGTTTATCAAATAACTCAAATGATTACTATTCTTGTGCTGAAATTTGTGACTTTATTTTCCCTGTCAAGTGTCTCTTTTTTCTTCCTTTGATTATATTACATGCTAAATCTTTTCAGACAGYTTCTGATATGTTTTTCATAAATTGAAGTTGACCCAATTGAACTGCAGCCTTGTTAGGATAGTGTTACATATGGAATTGTGTTTCTGTAAAATAGCTACAAAAAGAAAATACTGCATTTTATTTTAGATATGTGGCAAAATTGTATAAAAGGCTTTTGTAGGTAAGGTTGTGTGTCAAAACTTTCAGGGACCAAATAGCCTCTGATGATGGTTCATAAGTGGTTAATAAAGTAATTTAGCTGAAATGCTGGGTGACCCTGCATGTGCAGGGGGGTTGGACTAGATGATCTCTAGAGCTCCCTTCCAACCTCAACCATTTTGTGATTCTTTGAAATAAATGTAACCGGGGAATGTGAAGTATGGTTGAGGTTATTGACACCGTTCTTTCGTAATGGAAGAAAATGATTAAAGCTGGATTAAAAATTGAAAACTTGTTCTATGACAAATATTTTGAAGCACTTCAGTGTTTTAACTTGTGAAGAACTATGATGATGACGGTTGAACTGAAACACATGGGAACAACACATGGACCCTAGGACACGAGCATCCTACCTGCAGGAGTATCCCATGTCTTTCATGTTAAGGCCTTTTGTTCASGGAATGTGTGCTTAGAATAGATTGAGTTGCCAGCAGCTCAACTCTTGCTGTTGTAAATATTGAATTATAACTTTATGTAAACTTGTGGCRGGGAGGAAGGGGAGAGGGAGGCAATATAATGATTTTTTTTTCTGAATGTTTCTGAGCTTTTGTATGTGTGACTCATACAAAAAAGTATGAAAAGTATGAAAAGTAACCATTCAGAGATGTTAGACCTAACCTGCTACTGCAGATCAATTTGTACATACAGCATTCTATTAAAATGGAAAAACATGGAAACCTAAAGAGCTGTCTAAAGGTAGCTAGATTCTAATTTCAGTGGAATTGGGTAGCTGTTAGGCTAATGTTACTTATTAACATACTTATAGTGAGCAGCACTACAAAAATGTATATATTTGAATTGTTTATGATTTTTCCTGAGCAAGAGGTTTTGAAATTACCTCCTGAAACATTTTCTTCCTTGCAAACAGAAATGTTTTAAACTGTTACTTTTATTTAGTGACATGCAGTTTTATTGCAGCAGGTTTTTGCCCCAGAGTTKGTTTTGCAGAGGCTTATTTTCCTTCTTTTCCAGGTTATGGGCTTTGGATTGTACCTGATGGATGGCAGTGTCAGTAACATCTACAAGCTGGATGCAAAGAAGAGGATAAATTTAGCCAAGATAGACAAGTTCTTTAAGGTTGGTTGAGAGCTATTTTTAATATGTGATTCTGAAGGTAATTCCCCTTGCATTCTAAATGTACAAACAGTTTTATATTATTAAATAAAATGCAGACTGTTATGAACTTTCATGTTGGTAAATTAAGGGCTCCTTTCACAAAGATTTGTATTTAATAACACATATAATCTGCTTCATTCCCTGTCTACAGCAGCTRCAGGTCGTCCCGCTGTTCGGTGACATGCAGATTGAACTCGCAAGATACATTAAGACCAGTGCTCACTATGAGGAAAATAAATCCAGGTGAGGGRGGGAAGGAAACAAGGAGATACTGGGAGGATCTGGGAGAGAGAAAGTCAGACCTCTGGGATGTATTTTCATGAACTGTCTTAAATTCTGTGGACCTGTTTCTAACAGGATTGTCCCATGGGTCTACTCTGTGGTGTGGGTATTTAAGTGTGTGTCACTRTTAATGTACCTGACCCCTAAAGGGACAGCTTATTAAAACACCCTTCTGTGCTACTGAGGTTAATCTGCTGTCTGAGGCATTTCTTATCATTGATATTGGAGGAAATAAGTTTTATCTTACTCTAATCTTCATTTTTTTCCTTTAAATATGAAACTTCTTTTAAAAGAAATGAAGGCTTAGACTAAGCAAGATGAGCACCAGGCATGTGTAGGTAGGGATGTGTATATTGTATTACAGAGYGTCAGCTTAGCTCGTCTTTCCCCCCCGTCCACTAGGTGTGCAATCAACAAAGTGCCTGGAAAATGCAGTCAGTTTTACATAAACAATTCCATGATTTCTGGTTACTGCTTTGCTTTAGTGAATGTTTCTGTGCTCCTTTGAGACCTTCCATCCATGCAGTACAGCAATTTAGATTATAGTGCCTTACATTTTAATTCCAGCAGGAAATTATATATATATATATATATATATAAAACCTGCATGTAGTAGCTAAGAGAAAAACAGCAGTAGTGGGTCTGCTGAGCTGCTAAAAGCATAAGGCTATTTAACATGATACTATTGGTAGCATGATTTTTATGTACCTTTTGATAACGTATAAATAGTATTTAATATTAAATTTATACATACTGTAGATTATTCAGAATTAGACATGAATTAAGGAAAAAAATATGAAGGTAAATGTATCCTGTGGCCTATAAACACCTTCACACTGCCTTTCAGTACTTGTTGATCTGTCCATACCTATATGCTCCTGAAGAGAGGAATTTATACTGAATAGCAGCAGTCTAAAAAAGCTAAAAAGGCTTTTTATGACTTGAAGTAAGTACTGTTTGGACCGAGAAGGGTAGTTTATTGCTGATTTTACTTGTGCAGGTACAGAGGTAGAGGTTTGGAGAGAGGAAGGGCCTCAAATGGACGAGAAGGAAGCTTTAGAAAAAGAAATCAATCATTTTGATTCTTATTTTGCAGTATCGTTTTTACTGTTTATTGCCTGAGCTCACATAGGTGTTTTTTTGCGTTTTTTTCTTTCCCATTTTCTGAAACAGATGGACGTGCACATCTTCCAGCAGCAGTCCCCAGTATAATATATGTGAGCAAATGATCCAGATCAGAGAGGACCACATGCGTTTCATTTCAGAACTGGCTCGTTACAGCAACAGTGAGGTGTGTGGGGGTTAGAGCTATTTCTGCCTGTTGAGCTTGCCTGGTTAAGCAGCTGCTGCTGTTAAATATCTGAAGAGCAGGTAACAACAACGCTCGATCATCCGAATCAAGAACTGACTGCAGAGTTGGTGCCCAGTGATTTTTATGATATTTCAATTTTAAGATATGAATCTTCAGTACATYGTACAAATTGCAGTGTTCCTCTGCTTACATATGCCGGAGCTTCGGCATGACCCTTTAGTAAGAGTTTGTCTAGCCCTTATCCAAGTGTGTGCTTGCAACACTTCAAATGAAACTGGCTGTTCAGAACGCAGTTAAGAAAGTACCTACACCCACCACACACACACACACACACAGAGTACATACAGTGTATAAGTGGTGGCTTGATTTGGACTGCAATAGCATTTTGTTGATCAGGGCTACTGCTGCTTTTGGTCTCCAGGCTGAAATTGTGAATTTCTAACTATGTAAAATTTCGGAAGAAAAAGCTGATATTAGTGTATAGTAGGTGAGTGTTGACGTATGATGGTGTTTCAGGCCTTTTTCGAGGGCTGTGGAGAGGTTTGGCTCTAGGTGCAGGGCACGGCGTGATCTGATGTGTTTGTTTAATCCCGTCCTAGGTGGTGACCGGGTCTGGGCGCCAGGAAGCTCAGAAAACAGATGCAGAGTATCGGAAGCTCTTTGATCTCTCCCTGCAAGGTCTGCAGCTCCTCTCTCAGTGGAGTGCACATGTCATGGAAGTGGTACGTTTCCTGAGCAAAGACTGAGCACGCTTTGAAATGCTGGGAGTAGGATTGCTGTTTTGAACACACAGTAGCAAGCAGGAACTCGTGCTGTGCATTCAACCTGTGATATTTAATGGATAGGTGATCGTCCATCTGTGACCACGTATTTATTTTGCTGTGGAGCTCTTGGACCATTCATTTTGTAGATATAGGACTTGATTTATCTTCCCCTTGAAAGGCAGTTTTAAATCTTGTTTTGTTAGCAATATACATAGGAACACACAGTCAGATGGGAGAWGATGTAGTAGTGGGCAGGTGCCTGTGTGCAGGCATGCTTGCTTGGTGAGACAGCCCATTAAGATTAGGTGAGTCATGAGGAAATTAAACACGGGAAAATGAAAACAGCAGAGGGAGAGGAATCGTTTGTGTCGTTTCTGTGTATTTTAATGGCAACAGTCTATCTGAAAAACAAGAGGCAGTTAGAAAAGTGCCTAACTTTTTTTTTCAGTATGCAATTGCTGAAGACTTAGACTGAAAAAGATGTTGCAGGAGTCTTTTATTTTTGTCACAGACACTTAGCTAAATGCAGTGTTTCAGACCTGCACCAAAACATGATCCAGGAGAGATGAAGACAGATGCTGTGTTGTCTGAGTGAAGACGCTTGCCTTCTTCCTGCTTTCCCTCAGGCTCTGGGGGAGCAGTGCTTGAAGCTCTGTCATCTCGGAAGGCACAGCTAGGAAAGACCTCGTTTTCTCCCCATTGGGTGTTTTTGACTGTCTCCTCTGAAAGCCAGCAGATGAATAGTAGTTTCTCCTATTTCAATCAACAATGTGTTYTATGGTAAAAATCTTGTTCTCCTTTTCTGTTTCTTAAGAGATGTTGCTCCCCTCTATTTCTGACCTCTGCACTTTCCAGTCTCACTCCTGTTATTTATCTTTTTACAAATGACTGTATTCAGACTCTTAGCAGGATACAATTCTTGGCTCTACTTTTATCCTCTCAGTTCCAGAACAGACTTCCTTTCAGGACCCTGCCTCAGCAGAAGAGAGATCCTGAAGTGCCTTACTGAGTGTGAATTACAGTTTCTGAGCCAACATGCAGGGTATCTGCCTTTCAGGAAGATTTGTTAGGCAAATTATTGACCTGGCATTTCTATTAGACCGTAGCTTTGTAACTTTTTGAGAATACTCCCAGGTCACATTTTTCAGATATTCTGGACCATGTTGGAAATTTTATAAGGATGTTGTTTGTTTTCAGAATCTCAGACTTGTTTCTTCTTTTTCTCTCCTATTTTGCTCCATGAACTGCAGTACTCCTGGAAGCTGGTACACCCAACTGACAAATACTCTAATAAAGATTGTCCTGACAATGCAGAAGAATATGAAAGAGCAACAAGATACAACTATACTAGCGAGGAGAAATTTGCTTTGGTTGAGGTAAGATAAATCTTTTCTTTCGGACATTTTCCAAATGCCAGTTCTGTATAATAGAGAGCATTCTCTGTAATCATTTTTTTGTACTCAGTGGGAAAAGGTACCAGATGCTGTATGGGCTTTCAAGGAGGATGTTTTCCTCTGTTCAGTAGAGAAGGGACACAAGAAAACTAGCCTCCTTTGACCTTCTTTTATCTTTTTAAACTTGTTAAATTCCCCTTTTCTCATTTTCTATTTTTAGAAATGTATTTAAACTTGATTTTTTTCTTTTTTTCCCAGGTGATTGCCATGATCAAAGGTCTTCAGGTGCTGATGGGAAGGATGGAAAGTGTCTTCAATCATGCCATTCGCCACACCATTTATGCAGCTCTGCAGGACTTTGCCCAAGTCACACTTAGAGAGCCCTTAAGGCAAGCCATTAAAAAGAAGAAAAATGTCATCCAGAGGTAATATTCTTGTTTCATCTTCTCCTATATTGTGTGCCCTAAATCTTACTAAGCTTGGTGCAGTATTGTACATCTGTTAAATTTGGACTCTTGAGTCTCTCCTCCATCGTTAGTGTGTCTGGCACGTGGAGTCTGTCTTRAGTGTGTATTGGAAGTCAAAAAGGTCTAAAACCTTCAGTCAAAAATGAATGGATGCCAGCATGGTTACTGGGAGACTGGCTGAGTAGTCTTCRGCCATGATTTTTTTTCTATTTTAAGACAAGATAAATATTATAACATTTAAAGAAAGAGCAGTATTTTTATTCTAAGGAGAGGTGGTATTGTCAACCTCCTAGGATTCAGTGTTCATGCTCTCCTTGCATCTCATAACCTTATTTCTGCCCGCTGGGCAGCCTGCCTTGTTTCTCAACTCCTTCTGCTTTTGGCTTGTAATTCTTTTCTAAATGCTTTGTTCTACTCACCCTCATTGGTGTCATTCGTGAGCTATTTTTTGTGTTGCCATATGTTTACTTTTAATTTTGACATGCTTAGCATTAGTCCAATCCTGTGTTTCATTGCAAGGCTCTTAGGCTGTTACACTCTTGCTAAATTGTGGCAGCCAATTCTTTGGCTGCCACATACAGCTCATCATAAAGATAAGCAAATTGTTCCAAACTATTAAATTTGCAAGGAGAGTCTTTTTACTGTTGTCCCAACTATATATTTGCAGTCTGCAAGATAACTGCAGTCTGGARTCTTGTGGGTATGCAAGAAAGTGTTTCACAAAGTAGGGAAAGTGCTGCTTTCATATTTCTTTGGATTGGGTACCAGAYGTTGCTTTCCTTCAGCTCCAGGATGTGACCGCGTTGCTGTTGAGCATCTGAAGTCCAATTCAGTACTTGAAGTTAGAAGTATGATGCCGTTAGGAGTATGATTCCTGTTAGGAATTCCAACTGATAAGAAATTCTGCTGCAATCCCAAATCTTCTCTTTCTAATTCGGTTAAATAATCTGCTTTTTGTGGCTTAAGGGGTACAGAAGGAGCTGATGCACTTGCAGCAGGGTCTCAGAGGGTGCATTCTTGACAAGTAAATTTTGCCCTTGATGAGGCAGTCGCAGCCATCAGCTTCCTCATGACGAAGGAGAAGGACCTGGGGCTGCCCCGCAGCTGAGCTGGAGCGATGGTTATTGTCGTGGCTGTAGCGTTTTAGGAACGGCTGGTGAAATAGCTGGTGGTTTCCCTGCGCTGCCCCGAGCTCGGGGCGCGSCGGCACGGAGCTGCCGCGCGTGGGGAGGAGCGGATAGAGCAAAACACTGCTCCCCGCGGCGGGCGGGTCGGGCGCTGAGCGGCGCGGGCTCTGTGCAGTGTCTTGCAGGCCATCCGCAAGACGGTGTGCGACTGGGAGGCGGGACACGAGCCCTTCAACGACCCCGCGCTCAGGGGAGAGAAGGACCCCAAAAGCGGCTTCGACATCAAGGTGCCGCGGCGCGCCGTGGGGCCCTCCAGCACCCAGGTATGTCCGGCCTGGCGCTCCTGAGGCCTCCCAGCGGCTGCTTGTTCTGGTGACTTGAGCTGTCCTAAGGAAGCTCCAGTGAGTCACTGGGGAAACTTCAAAATCTGCTTCGATTCGATCGACGTTTGCAAAATTATACATGCTCAATCAGAATCTGCTGTCGGGGCTGCTGTCACTTTGCACTCAAATGCAAAATACTTCCAAATGCTCCAGCCCTTTGATTTGATTAGCTCGGAAGAAATATATTGAGCTAATGTCTTTCAAACGGATTTCTGGACTATTTGATTTATTTTTAGTCTGATCCCCTTCTAGGCACTCTCTGGTGTGCCTGATGGATTGATTTTGGTTCAGTCCCAAAGATCAGTAGATGTCTATKTAATTTTAGATCAGATTTAAAATGAAAATTGCTGCCTATAAAATATGGGAGCATATTTGCGTTTTGACACAACCCTGTTATTGTTCAGTAATGAATGAGGAAACTGTCTTTTTAAAGTCTAATTTTCTTCTAAAACAAAAGATACTTCAAGTATGTTTTCTGAAATAGTCATTGAAATCCTGTACCCATAAGTTCATTCTTATTTCCTTTATATAATTTAAATTTTATAATTTTTAATTATAAAATATATAATTCTTTATATATTCTTCTTTATAATTTTTTCAGTGAGCGTATGGTCCTATATTTGTAGTTTAACTAAAAAAAATAAGGTACTGAATATTTTGAGTGAAAAATTGCAGGCAACTGTCATTTGCCAATAAAATACTGCAATACTTAAGCTATGTGGGGAGAGGACATATTGGATAATAATCTGGAGTAATAGTATTGCTTGACTTGCACTGAGATGAGTTAACTAAGATACTGTTTGGGGAGTTGAAAAGATTACTTTGATTTTAATTTTGTGCAAAAAGCCTTTTTTTTATTATTATTATTTTTAATATCCCACCAATGTGTTTCTTCTGTCCTTGGTGTGACGAAGGGCTTGGTTCTGCTGGCTGCAGCACGCTGGGGTGCACAGACCTGTCCCCATTTCCTGCTCTTGGGCTGGCCAACTTGCCTCTCTTGGCTGGGAGGAGGAAGGGAGGGCGAACACATCCTGCTAGAGCCGTCCCCTGCCGTTCCAAAGCGGCTGCTTATGAATTGGGAATCGTCCTGGAACAGCTTGGGAAGCCAAAATGCCGAGAGCCTCATTTGGTGTTTTCCGAATCAGTGGGGACTTTTCCATTCCCTGGGAAGCGCTTTCRCTCGGAATGCTAATTCCGAGTGAAGAACCCCCGTTTGAGGAACGTGTCTCTTCCTCTGCCCGCGTGCTGCGCGACTCTCCATGTTTAACAGACTAACACGTTTCCTGTGCTTCTCTTTCCCCTTCCTTATTTACCCCCGCGTGGTCATTAACGGATTCTCTCTCCCCTGCCTGCCCCTGTCTGTTGGTTTTTAGCTCTACATGGTCCGCACTATGACAGAGTCCTTGAACTCTGCCGAGCTGTTGAAGCAGCTCAGGGCCCTGGGACTGGAAAAGCTATTGCATGTGACACACAAGTTTCTGAGGCAGTCCTACATCTATCCACCTCTCTTAAACTTTGGTGGTAAGACACTCCTTATTACTCCTTATTCTGTTGTGGTGATGTGAACTGTGGCTGTGCTGGAGGTGCCCTTGGCACGGGGAGGCCTCCGTGCTGCTGTGGGGCTGCGTCTCCTGCTCCCGCCTCGCCGGCTCCGGGCCACGCGGTGCCAGTTTCCCGTTGGAAGTGGAGCGGTCGCTTACTGATAGTCGTGCTCAACTAATGTACCATGTGTATTTTCCTTTTTCCCCCCCTCCCTTTCCACCACGATTGTTTCCTTTAATGATACAGCTTTACATGGTGAGAACTATGTTAGAGTCCCTCATTGCTGACAAAAGTGGTTCCAAGAAAACCTTGAGAAGTAGCCTTGAGGGGCCCACCATATTGGACATAGAAAAATTCCATCGCGAGTCTTTCTTCTACACTCATTTGATAAATTTCAGTGGTAAGATACATATCATAGATGATCAGTGTCCAGCTTAGCATGTCCTAACACCTCTAACACACGACCTGGAAAATGTTTCCGATTGCCTAAGTCAACTTACCTTGGGTTGACTTATCAAAAGTCTTGGTCTGTCCAAACGTTTTCTGAGACGTGATACTCAATATTGTGATGGGAATTTTATTTTGTATGTTTGTTTATAGTGGGTCGAATTTCGTATTGTTTCCTCCTCTTTTTTTTTTTAGTATCTATTTTAATGTATGTATTTATATGCAAGGGA